TGAGGGAGAGGGAGGAGAGAGGGAAACAGAGTGACAGAAAGCAGGTGGGAAGATGATGTTTGTGTGCCCATATGCAAAACAGAGAAAGTGTTAGAAATATAGAGACAGAGAGGGAGGACAGCAGCAGAGGAAGTGGGAGTCTATGTGTGAGGGAAAATAATATGAAAATTGTGAGTGTCTGAGGAAGAGAGAGTTGGGAGTGCGCGAAGAATTCAGCTTGCTTGAGTACTTGACATCGCAGCCTTTTAATTTCCTCTTAAAATCATTACTGCCAGTGTTTGTCGTACAATCAGATTAGGTGTGCTGCACTCTAGTTTGTGTACGTTGTCTGTATCTGCCTGTGTGAAGAGAGTCAGAAAATACTTAAGTATAAGTGAGTTTGTGGGTGTGGATGTGATTAAATGCGCACGCCATTTGTGTGATTGTGTGATTGCTCACGCACACATGCACAAACTCGCCTCTGGATTTAGCAAAGCAAATGGGTGTAAATACAGCAGGAGTGGAGTCAGCAGCAGGAGCAGACATGATGCACACATTGCACAGAGAAGAGTTAGACAGTGCCTTAAGGAGCTTAGATGGGGGAAAAGTAGAAGATATGAGGGGTGAGGGGGGTGAAGGAAGAAAACGGTGCGGATAAAGGGTAAGAAGCAGGGCTGGAGGGACTGAAGGAAATGAAGAGAGAGGAGAGTTGGAGAGCAAAAATGTCAGAGGGGAAGAGTTGGTTTCAGTATGCTATGACTTGCCTCTTCCATAACAGGAATTAATCCAATAATTGCTTGAAAATGTTTTGCATATTTCTTCATTCTTGTACACAACAGACGATCATCTGGTACAAGTATGCGCGAGACCTGTCAAGTCCTTGGAGACGCACACAAACACACATGCGCCACGATAAGCCCCATTGCTGTAGGTTTAGTGCACATGCAAAGCCACCGAGAGCTGAAGATCCAGAGTCTTCAAGTTCATCTACCGCTTACTTCAAGTGTCGCTCTGAGCATCACAAATGTCAGCAAGTCTGATATCGGCTTTGCCTCCATGTCAGCTCATTAGAACTTGCTAAAGCACACACACTACAAACCCTCAAGAGCTGGGCAGTCAGTAAATTAACTGCAAGTAATGCAGAAAAGAAGACTTCTTATCCTTATGGTAGGATCCATTCATCACCATTTCTCCATCTCCTTAAGTCTTTGTCCTGCTTCTTCCTCATCTGCTCCTTGCTGGCTCTCTTTCCTCTTCTTTCACATGTGTCAGACTAAAATCCTATGCTGAGAGCACACAACGCGAGCTCCTCTGAAAGCTGCAACAGAATTTACCTAAATAACACTCTAATGAGCCGGTAGTACACACTTCCAAAGCAGCAGGTGATGAAACATTCACTGCTACATCAGAATGTATCTTAGCTGGAAGCGGTTTCAGTGATTGTGTAAAACAAATAAAAATCTAGAGTGTAGTACCTTTAAGCTGTAGTCTTTTAAGAATATCTAAGTAAAACACTATTACCACAGTGTGCCAATTATAAGACACAAATGTCTTTGCTTCTGAGGGAACAGCTCTGCTTAACTGCTGCCTTGGGAATTACTCACTTCCCTATAGTTTCAGCTGTGCCACACTTGGTCTTTTACAGTGCTGGCACTTGTTGGCACTTTCTCCTCTGAAATATCCACCCTCATAGCCCAAGGGAAGCTTACCTTTTCCTTAATGTGTGAGAAATCATTTAGTGACAAAGTAGCTCCCAGCATACACAGCAGACAGAGGAAATAATGTGAAAGGTAATCCAGAGGTCAAAGATCAAATTGAGTGAGGCAGGGGTCTAACAGAGGGAACTCAGTGCAATCATTTAGTGGTATTGACAAGCGGATCAACCAAGAGCTTTAAAGAATATTAGTTTTGGACAGAAAAAGAAACAGAGGAAAAAGAAAATGCCGTGGAAGACCCCCCCTTCCTTTTTGACCTACATCTTCCCTGATTAGCTATGCACAAATAGGACTTCCTCTCCTCCGCCTTGCCATGAGAGAGAAGAAGATTATAAGTTAGCTGCCACAGCCACTGGTGAGCTGAGCTGGAGCTTGGACTGGGGCTGGTCTCCTCCCAGATTTGGGGTAGATTGGGGATTTCAAAGTCAAGAAAGTTCAAAGCTCTGGCTGGGGAACTTTCTAAAGAACCACAGCCAGCCATGAAGTGGAGAGGAAAGGAGGGGGAGAGCTAGCTACTTACAGTAAACTCTCCCACAGTCTGTACAGAATGCCATGGCAGAAGTGGGGGAGGTGAACAGGGGTAAATGCTTGTGAAAATAAACTCCACGCGCCTGTGGGTTGAGTCGATGAGAGGTGGTGAGCAGGTGAAATTTTGCTGACATGTTGGTGCAAAACTCAAAGTGAGAAAGTTCTGGACTCTTGAATCATCAATAATACAGAAGATGAACTGAAATAAAACTGATGTTCTGTGCTGCCAAGAACATCGCTACTGCTGTTGTGTTCGTCCTGAGACCCAATGAGATGGATTTTTATTGCACATGGACTGTTAATAACAGAGGTGGGACCAAGTCATCATTTTACAAATCACAAGTAAGTCTCAAGTCTTTGCACTCAGGTCCCAAGTCGAGTCCCCAGTTCAGACTAATCATGACGGCCAAGTCATGTCTCAAGTCAAGACCAACAAGTTGAAGTAAAGTCCAAGTCCTAAACTTTGAGTTTCAAGTCCTAAACATGTCATACAAATTTAAAACCATTTCATAATTTTTTTCAAGTTAAAAATAAAAAAAATTATTGAACGAAGCGTTAGCCTGCACAGAAAGAGGCAGAGGCGCAGTTTCACACAACAAATAATCTATAATTTCATGAATTGAATTAAATGTTCATGTAGGGCTGCTAATTATTTTGGTCAATATTGAGATCACAATTATTTAACAGGATTACTCATCGACTTAGGAAACGTTAATTGAACTTTTAAAATGTAATACTTTCTTAGTTAGTTAACAGGGCCTGTTAGTTAATGAGTTTACGTTAGAGAACGCTGAAATACAAGATGGATGAATTTAGAAAGTTGTGTGGCTCTGCGGCGAGCCCCCAGCTGTTGTGCTTGCATTATGAGTAAAATTTATCCAGCCAGATGTCCGCAAACTGTTCACAGCTCGCCTGGAGAGGGAGTGGGGTGTTGGGGCTAACAGGGCCAGGGACAATAGATTGTGGAGCGGCCGGGCGCGCTTCGGATGGTCGGTGATTGTTCCCTCTGGCTGGAAGAAGCCAGACGCTCCTAATTTTATGCAAGACCCATGATGATACAGAAATACAGAAATTAATGGCAAAAAAGCATACTGTCAATATTTTAGAGAGTTCATGTCTTATTGGCTAAGCTCTCCCTGGCTCCCCCTGTAGTTTGCACCCTGAGTGGTAGCCAAAGTCGTAATTGAGGTTAAAATTTAATTAATAGCACAGCGCTATGTGCTGTGCAGTTTTTTATATCATAATTTATATATGGGCATGAGGAGTGTCAAGTCAGCTCAAGTCACAAGGCTCAAGTCCAAGTGACGTCAAGAGTCATTGGTGTTAAAGTCACACTTGAGTTGCTAGTCTTCTTTGATTTTGCCGAGTCATCATTTTTGTGACTCTTCTCTGACTCGAGTCCAAGTCATGTGACTCAAGTCCACACCTCTGGTTAATAATGTCTCTTGAAATGTCGCTAACATATATTCCTACATACACACTTTTGTAATGTAGAGTGAAAAGCCCAAATGTGAGAACAATAAAATATACTTTCTTTGAGAAACAGAACATCAACTTACAAACACGCACCACTCTACAGATAAAGGCCCTAAAACTGCTAATGTAGTGCTTTCTCAGGTGTTTCTCAGGTTCTCATCATCATCTCATCGTCAATTCATTTGACACAATCAAACCAAGGCAACACCCTTGCACACTGGAGACAGAAAACATCAATGGAATTTAGTTAATCTACATGACTTTGCAGTTTATTAAGTAGCCCATGCAGTGCTTCTTGAACACACAGTCTCTGTAACTTTGTTACTGCATTGGCTATTATTACTGTTATATTATGACCCACTAACTTTGCTCGAGCATCGTGTCAGTGCAGGAAACAGCTGATACACATAATTATTATTGAGGTAACAAACTTAAAACTGTTCCCTTCCTATGAGAGTTGAATATTACTCACAGAAGCAATCCAAAAATTATAATCCACCTTAAATATTCAATTAATCTTACTCATGCTAGTGTAAAATCAATTACACTGCAATCCTCTGAGGTAATGTTTCATTTTTTTTTCTTTTTGAAAAATGGTGCATAAAGAGGTACATAAATATTCAAAAGACCAACACACTCATGGTAAATGTTTTTAGGCCAGCAGATGCAGCCGGCTGCTTTAGGTCTTTAGTTTTGGATTTAGCTCCAGCTAGTGCCTCTCTCTGTTGTTTTTCACCCTGATTCAGCAGTCCTGGACTTTACGCAGAGCCACTGAAAGCTCAGTGGCTACAGGGAATGCCAGCTCATCGACTATTATAATGACGGCCTCCCTATTGCGCTCCGTCTCTCTCTGCCCTTCTCACCAGCACACCATCCCAATTGTCTCTCACTCTTTCTGTTTGTGGTCTGTCTTTCTGCCCTTCTTGCTGAACAAAGGCTTGTGTGAGTGCATATGACGCAACTGTGGCAGTACTGAAAGTTCGTAGTCAACATAAATGCACAGAATGAACATCCCCAAGGTAGGAATGGATGGATTAAAGATTTTGCTGAAAAGTGCAAACAAAGATATCATATTGAATGTTGCAGGCTATACATGAGAACCTCTTTGTGAGAATGGGAATAGCTTCAAAGCTCAACTGGAAATCATCAGTCTTTTTCAATCAAATCTTGTTCCACATGGTGACTTACCTTGTTTCAGTAACACAGAAGTAAAACAATATAAAATAGGAGCAACATTTGAAATTGTTGCTGATATGACCTTGTCACGTGCTTTATAAACTGAAAAGGACATGGAGGACTAACCTTGAGCTTATCAAAGCGTTCAGTGAGAGAGGACACCTGGTGCTCTCTGTGGCGCCCCACCAGCTTGCAGAGGGCACAAATGAGCTGGTCATCCACCAAGCAGTACATGTTGACCTTCTCATTCTCGTGCTCCAGACAGGTCAGGCCGCGGATGTGAGTGTCCGGCACCGGCTCGACCAGGCGGTGGCTGGTGAACGGCTTCTTGTTAGGGTGTGTCGCGCGCAGGCAGCGGTCGCAGTACGATACCTCACACGTGACACACGTCTTGACAGCCTCACGTGGCGGATCCTGCTCACAGAACTGGCAGCTGATGCGTGGATCCATTTTAGCAACAACAGCTGGGCTGTGGTTGGCGTTGGTGTGGTTGGCGTGATTGGTGTGATTGGCGTGCGGGTGGGAGTGGCTGGAAGTCGCCGGGCTGCCGCGGGCGCTGCTTCCACTTGTGCCACCACCACCGCCAATCGTTGCTATTGTGCCACTAATGGTGGCGGTGTAGGGCCGCTGCGGCTGCAGGCGCCGGCTCTCAGTGGGGGAGTTGGGGCCGCTAAGGGAGGCCTTTTGAAAGCGGTCAATGATGTTCTGCAGCGTCACATTGCGCTTAAGGCCCTCCAGGCCGCGGTGATTCAGCGTGATGACGTAACGACAAGTGGGGCACTGAAAGGCCGAGATGGACTCGAGGGGCTTGCTGGTGGAGCAGTGAGACACCAGGATGCGATGGGCGCAGTTAAAGCACAGGCTGTGGGCACAGGGCAAGAGCAGGGGATCTTCAAACAACTCCAGGCAGATTGGGCAGGTCAGCTCAGACTCCAGTGTTTCCATCTTCAGTTGAACCAATCTAAAGGTGACATCAAATCCCACGGAAGCTGGCCAATTACCTGCATGAAGGAGAAAAAGATACAGTGTGTATGAGTATTTACAGTTGCAAATTAAATAGCCTTCTAATTAGGAACTTCCACTTTATTTAACTTTTGAACAGTCTGATTTTAACTAAATCAGTCATGAGATATTGGCTTCAGGTAAGACAGACTGGCCTGTGCAGATTCAGTAGAAACATCACTAACACACACACACACACACACACACACACACACACACACACACAAACACACACGTTCTTGTACTATTCAACTGCTCAGACTCTGTGGACTGGGCCTCCTTAGTGCAGCCTTTAACACATGATTCCTCCTGCCATATGAAAGGAAGAGGAGTGACTGCATGTGCCGGGAGTAAAAAAATAGAGGTTGGCTGACCGTTAGGGAAGAAGTAAAAATCAATGGAGTGAAGAAAACAGCAGAGAGAAGGAGAGGCAGGTGCACAGCAGCAGAGAAGACACAGAAAGAGGACTTGTAAATCAGAGGAGCTCTGCATTTCTGCAACAACTTTATGTGTTTCAACTCTTCCTCATGCATTTTACTTCCATCTATCCTTATCCAGCTCACTGTTTACTTTCTTCATTGTATATGGCTTCTATGGTAAGATCAGCTTGACTTACAAGCAATAAACACTTAACTCCAAGGACATTCCAACTTTTAAAGCATGATCCCAACAAAAATTGGGAAAAAAAGTGGGACAGTGAAAACAGGGCTCGAGCTAAACAAGAAAATTGATACCCCCCCTCTTTCTACATGCTGTCCAAATCTCAGCACCTTGCAGCCTGCATAACAAGCTGTCTCCTCAGGGAGGCCTTAAAACCACTGACATGAGAAATCACCAACACCCCTCCTCCCCACTCACGCTGATTCAGTGGCATGTGAGCGTAGCTCGCAGTGGCTCGCTACCCTTTAAAAGAAACAAAACAGCCCCCGTGAAGATACAGTATTAAACTGTACGACCCCAGATAGATGACAGTGACAATTTCATTAGGTGAGGTTGTTCCTGAAAGACTACCCTTGTCTCCCTTTGCGCCAGTTATGCAGGATTTACTGATGACTGGGTTTTACTGGTTATGACTAATCAGGAAGTACTTCTCACCTTTGGGACAGGATCTAAACTCCGGAGTGACCTCTCTGAAGCTTAGGTCATTGTATACATGAAGATGACTACGTTCAGACAACTAAAGTTGAACTCACGTTACCAAAAAAAGGGCAGCAGATACAGAGGACACTAACATTATTAAGACCTAAAGACACTTTGGCTTCTTCCAAGGTTTAAAACGCACAATTTCAAAGTGAGGAAATTCTGAGCGCGAAATGAGTGAGCATCAGTAAATTTATCCAGTAACCGAAGATCCAGCCTCCTGGTTTTTCAACTGCATTCCAGACACAACACCTATTACTCAAATTAAAGCAACTTTAAACACACAAACAACAACAAAACAGCATTATATTTCTATTCTACCCTAGACAGCTGGATATTCAGTACAGACACTGCTATGTCCAATATGGAGACGGCCAAAAGATTGTGTTCAGTGTATTTTAATTATTTTATAATTTTTATTAATTAAGTTAATTATTTAGTCAATAATAATTTGACATTCACCAGTCTCAAACCTAAAGATGTAGAGAGAAAAGTACTTAAGAAAATCAAACACGGGAGTATTTGTCATCTTTGCTTCAAAAACGATTAGTCGATAAGCAAAATAGTTTTGTATATAAATAAATTTTGTGTCAATTTACTAATTGATTAATATACTAGTTGTTGCAGCTCTACTATTGCGCATGTTGCTGTTATAAAATGTGTTGATGGAGCTTAATCAGTTCAATCAATAGGTAATAAAATTCACAGCTTGTCAAAACATCATGCTGACCTGTCCTAAAATTGAATCTATTTAATGGCTCATACTGAGGTATATTAAGTTAACTCTGGCATCCACTGCCCGTTTGTAATTACTTTATTGTGCTATGACACTATCCAGACTCGGTAGTGTGCATCCAGCTGCATTGAGAAGAAAGCATTACACAGCCACCCATAATCTCATGAACCAGCAAAGGACAAGCTGAAGACAGGACTTTATAAAGACAGAAATGGAGCTCAAAGGCTCAAACTCATTTGCACTACCAAAAGTCTCCTCCCTTCTGCTGCAGCAGAAACCATGCCTCGACACTGAGCTGTGTTCAAAGCAAACATGATTTGAGCAGCAGCTAAGTGCTTGGGAAAGGCACTCAACTGAAGAAGTAGTTATATGCATGCGGCGGCTTTGTTACAAAATTCATTATCTGGAAAAGAAAAAAATAGCTGCTTGCGGCCAGTCATGCTGATATTACGCTGATAAATGGCAACGAGCAGTGTGTGTGTGTGTGTGTGTGTGTGTGTGTGTGTGTGTGTGTGTGTGTGAGTATACATTTGAGGTATTGGTTTATGAGAAAGCTGTGCGTACGTGTGCACACGCAAATAATGTCCTCCTCCAATATTCACCTTGGCTGCTATTTATCAGATGCTTTATGTGGTTGTTATCATACAGCCATGTAAGGGGTAAAGAGAGAAGGAGAGAGAATTCAGAGGCAAGCTACCACAGAGCGAGGAAGCGAGCATGAGGTTCTGTTTCATCATGCCAACAATAGGCCTAATTTATCTCCACTGTATCAAACAGTTCATAACCAGGGGCAGACAAATGGAAATAACCAGAGAAACAGGATGTGGTGGGGAGGGTGATGAGGGGAGGCAAGGACAACCTTCATGGCCTTGTGATGACAAGCAAAGCCACTGGTTCCTCAGCTTGTTCACACAAAGGCTAAAGGTTCATGAGGTGCCATATTTGTACCTTGAGTGGATAAGCCGAGGGGGCAATGGTTTTGCTTGTCATCATAAGGTCATAAAGGTTGTCCTTGCCTCCCCTCATCACCTTCCCCCCACATCCGGTTTATCTGGTTATTTATAGTCGTCTTCCTCTGGTTATCTTATTTGATAGAGTGGAGATAAATTAGGCCTGTTGTTGGCGTGATGAACCTCATGTACCTCCTGTAATTTTCAATAGTTCAGCTCCATATGACTGGTGTTGAATTATATAAACTACAAGGCACACATTCATTAAACTTCTTTGAATACTAGGGATGGGGATTGTTAATTTTTATTGATAGTGATACCCTTATTGAGACTGCTTAATGATCCGATTCTTTATCGATACCACTATCCATACTTTACTATTATTTAGTGATGGTTATTTGGTAAGACCAGACCCAAGGGGCATGAGGTAGGCCTGCATGGTATGAGGAAAATATTCAATGTGCGATAACGTTATATATTGAGATGACATATCACTTACGATAAAAAAACATATTGAGGTGTACATATTAACTGCCTGTTTTTTTTTTATTTAATATTTTAAATACAGCTAAATGTTGTTTCTAGACAAAAGCAAAGTAACTCAATAACTTTATCTGACATCACAAGTAGTGAGTGAAGTTTAGAAAGAATAACATCAATCTGTATCAGTCCCTCTTCTCTCGCTGGCTGCAGGTAAGTTACCAGGTAGGAGGAGGAGCGGCTGGTTTGTCTCAGCCAGCAGCTGAGTTTTTGAGACTACAGATCAGTCTGTGCTCCAGACAGACAGCTTTCTATTAGCTTGTTTTTAAGTTTTGGCTAATGCCAAGCTAGCGTTAGCTGTGCTTGTATAAAACATACAGGATGAGATACTGAGGACAGAGATGATTAAATTAACCCTTTCTACATGTTTAACGTTACCTTACAGACAGGTGTATTGATATTGATAAAGTATTGTCTTTTTACTTGCAAAGGTTTTATTGCACGTACTTACAGTAACGAGCGTCGCTGTCATCAACTAACGTTACGGTAGTTTGGAGCTAACTTCACCCTCACCGTATTCCGCCGCGACGGCGCAGCTCTGCTGCTGCCACTTTGTGTGTGTGTGTGTGTGTGTGTGTGTGTGTGTGTGTGTGTGTGTGTGTGTGTGTGTGTGTAGGAGCCGGCAGAGACTGTACCCCAGCCTGATGATTTTCTTGTCCATTGCGTTTCAAATTAAATCACATTTGACGCTCGGGTCATAACGTTACATCATAGCCCGCAAGTCTCGATAGCAGTATCGATAAACTCGAACTTTATAGATTTTCAGGTTTTGAGAAATTTTGGATCCGGGTCTCGATCCCCATCCCTATAATACACACTGATTCTATATCTTTAGGCCATCGACGACCATGTGAACTTAGGCTGAAATCAGGTGAAACTGATGCAAGAAAGGACAAGAATGTCTTTTCATCACGGCACCGTCAATGGTCAAGAATAAGTCAATTAACACTTTCTTACTGCACTCCGGGAAAAAAGATTTTCTACAAATCCTGCCTCTCTGCTCATCAGTATTTGACAAATAAAACAAAGGAGGTCACACAAATCTCCCAGTTCCCTTCTTGCTCACAGAAATAAACCACATGGCATCACAACTAATATGCAGTGGGATTGTTCCCCTGTGAAGACAGCAGTATCATAACAAGAAAACAATCAACAAAACCCATACATTAAGCCAATATCACATCAATAGAGATGAGGGCATGATCCTTATTCTGGATTTGTACAATTGTCCAATTCAAATGCTGGCTGACTCAGCATTCTCACTTTATTCCCTAGGACACAGCCTAACAGTGCTGCTTATGCTGATGTTAATGTGACTGTGTTCACCAGAGCATGGCGTTATAATTAACACCAAGCTTTAGTACACCATCAACAGGCCCATTAAGCTTTAGCTGTGTCACTCTGGGGAAACAATGCCAGCTATGATGGGAGCCACTTAGGGAACGAATCGCTAGCTTCATGGTAAAGGAGTTTGTTCTGCAGACAGGCTGGCACACACAAAAACATTCCCAGAAACCTTCGCACACGCAGACACAGCCAGAACAGCACATTTACAGGCACAAACTCTGTCTGTCTCGTTGTCTCTCTTCATCTGCCATTCTTGTTAAGGTGAAGTGTCCCATCTGGACGGAGA